ATGACATAAAAGCCCTTAAGTTTTCACAAAAATGTCGGTTTTACCATTGGACATGTTTTATGTCCAGTAAAGCCCGAAGTTTTGTTTAATTTATTCATTTTTACCCTTGTAGCCGGTTTCCAGGTAACCTACCGGTTACGTAGATTACCTAATGCCAGTAAAGCCCTTGAATTTTCAAAAATGTTCGGATTTACCCTTAAGTTTTTCAAAAATGTTCGAATTTACCCTTACCTTGATTGTTATTTTGATTATTATTATTATTATTATTATTATTATTATTATTATTATTATTACATTTTTAATTGAATAAAAATATTTTATACATACATTTTTAAATGTATAAAAATATTTCATACGTTTTTAATACATTTTTATACATATTATTATTATTATTATTATTATTATTATTATTATTATTATTATTTTTAATACATTTTTAAATGTATAAAAATATTTTATACACACATTTTTAAATGTATAAAAATATTTTTACTAATATAAATATATTTTTAAAAATATATATACTTGTATTTAATATTTATATATACATTTGAAAGCCCATGTATTCCTATAGAAATGTATTTATATATTAAAAATGTATTTATTTGTATTTAGTAGGTATAAGTATAAATATATATTTATTTCATATAAAAATATATTATATACATATAAATATAAAAATATGTATTTATATGGTTTATATTATATAAAAGATATAATAATAATAATAATAATAATAATAATAACAATAATAACAACAACAATCAATGTAAGGGTAAATCCGAACATTTTTGAAAAACTTAAGAGTAAATCCAAACATTTTTTAAAATTGAAGGGCTTTAATGGCATTAGGTAACCGGTAGGTTACCTGGAAACCGGCTACAATGGTAAAAATGAACAAATTAAACAAAACTTCGGGTTTTACTTGACATAAAACACGTCCAAGGGTAAAACCGACATTTTTGTGAAAACTTAAGGGCTTTTATGTCATTTTCCCTTATTGTAATAAATCTTTATTTATAAATTTGTCAAAAATATCATGTTTGTATCGTCGAACGTTTTTTTTTTAAGTTTTGTAATTTTTTTTTTCAAATTGTTTATCATTAATAAAGTTGGAAAAAATATAAATTAAAAAAAACTTAAAATATATATATATATATATATATATATATATATATGTATATATATATATGTTTTTTTTTTCTAGAAGATGTCTGAAGATGTTAGAAGACTCTGGTCCACATCTGCGTCAAGAAGAGGGCGCACATACATTTTTAGGTCTGCAGTCTTCAAAAAAACAAACAGTCTGCGAAGACTAATGTATGCGCGTGGTCTGTGCGGCGCAGACAGAAGAGGTCACGCAGATCTGCAGACAAAAAACAAACACTGCCTTAGTCATTTTTTCAAGTTGAATGGACAATTTTTAGTTCATACGAGAGATTTTTTTAACATAAATGATAAAGTTTTTATTTTTAAAAGACTAAAGACTTAACTACAAAATAAATACAAAATGGGTGGGATAGAATCAGAATAAGATCATATGGTCATAGTTGGATCTTAAGATTCCAATACAAATATTAAGATCGTTTTTTGCTTGTAGGATCTTAAGACCAAGATCGAGATCTTAACAACCATGGACTTTTATTACAAACATTTGGTAATATTGGGTTTTAACTCACTTTTCCTTCTTTATTATAAGTTTTGAAGAAATTACAGTAGGAGTTGGAAATCCGTTCATCCTCAATGTGTTAGTTTACTCTTTTTATAAAACAATTATTGTTTAATGTATATGATGCGATTGTTTTTTGGACTTGTGCTTCTTAGTCATCAACAACTATATCTACAATTTAAATATTTCTGGTTGTTTGCTTCGAAATAAAAAAATAGGTTTCATCAACATGTTTTGTTGGATGTTAACTTTTGTGATTTTGTTGGATGTTAACTTTTGTGATTTTCATTGATTATGTGACCTTGTACATGTTTAGAAATGACAAAGAAACTCAACTCATGTTGGCAGGGATGAAGACATTCAATTTATATTGAAAATGATGAACACATTAACCATGACTTTGCTTTGCTGAAGATGGTCACAGTGATGACGAAATTTCTTTATATAATAAATTTGAGGATGACTACATCATCATCTAATGCTAATGAATCATTATCTAAAAATGTTTGCACTAATCACGTTCTGTATGAAATGTATAAACGTTGAATCATGACTAAGGCTTTAGCAAATATGGATGAAGAAATAGAGTATGATAGAAACTTGGACAAATTGCATAAAAACACTAAGTTTACATAAAAAATTTGATTTTGACATTTTGTTTTTTTTCTCAATTAAGTCTAAATTTATAATTTTGTTGCAAATTTAACCAATCAAACGGTTTGCTTCATGTCTTTCATGTTTCTCACTTGCTGACTAGGCAAAAAGTTGATGTGGGTTCCACATATGATCATAGTTGACCGACATTTAGGTTAATTTGAACCCTTACGTAGATTTATGCTCACTTTCCCTTATTTTTTTCTTCTTTTCTTCTCTTAGATCATCACGATTTTGCGCATGGGATTCCCAAGATCAATCAAGTGGTTCATCATCCCAGAGTGGTATATGCAAGACAATGAAGGTTGTCCATAATAACATCTCCTAAAGAAAACTTACCATGCCTTGTTTATACCACTCTGGGATGACGAACCACTTGAACGACCTTGGAAAGCCATTGCATAAATTTATGATTTCTGAGAGAAGAAAAGAAGAATAAATAAGGGAACGTGAGTATAGATCTACGTAAGGGTTATATTTAACCAAAATGTTTGCTAACAATGATCATATGTGGAAAACCACATCAACTTTTTGCCTAGTCAGCAAGTGAGAAACATAAAACACCCGCAACAAACTTGTAAACCTAATGACTTAATTGAGAGAAAAAAAACAATGTCAAAATTAGAATGTTGTGTTAACTTACGTCTTTTATGAAATTTGTTTAGGTTATTTGTCTTTGCAAATCTAACAATTACATAGGGTTTACCCATCTTTGAAAGTCGCCTAGGAATGAATACATCGAGAATAATACCGTACCTTACACAAGTGTTCCACAATTCACGCTGTGTGTAATGAGATAGGAAATTTGTGACGTAAAGATTATGTGTGATATTTTATGTCATGGATTTGTTTGTTTAGTAGTTGGACCTAGTTCGTGATTCGACCAGATGCCAATTATGCAATAAGGTGACTCATTAGAAGGGTGACACACAATGGAAGACGTCCTGCCGACGTCTGATCCCACCAGAGAAGAAGGTCGTCGGGGTTCAAAAGCTCTCCTTCGAAATCGCCAATAGTCACTGCATGACTTTTCTTGTGCCTAACCATTCTAATTTTTTTCACTTTTAATAGAACTTTATATAAAAATAATTCATTTTAATCTAGTAAATACTACAAAACATTTACGATACCATATTATTATTATTATTATTTTATAAAATTAGTGTATATTTTTTATTAAAGTTTTATTAATATTTAATAGAGAAAATGTCAATAATAGCCTTTTTTCAAAGTTTTTTTTTAATTTATTTAAATAGCCAAGAAAATGAAAGATGTCCAAAATAGTCACAATTTTTCTAGGTGGACCACATGCGAAAATGTAGATTTTCCCAGTTATTTGCAATATTTTTTTATTCCGCAAACTTCGAGCCTTCGTAACTTTTTCATACACTCTGATTTAGCTGATTTTTTTGGTTTGTTCTTTGTAACAAGAGCTTTCTATGAATATATTACACTCCAAATTTAGTTGTTGGAAAGTCATATTTTTTAGCTCCAAGTAACGCTATTTGGTGAAAAATATATGAAAAAAAAACCAAACTTTGATTTTTCATAACTTTTGCATATAAACTCCGAATTAGTTTATTTTTTTCTTCATTGTGCTTATTTTAACAAGGTCTATCTAAGGACATATTACACTCCTAATCTGAATGTCGGAAAATCATACTTTTTTAGCTCCAAAGTAAACTATTCGGTGAAAACTATGAAAGAAAAAAAATAACTTTCGTATTCGAACTTCATAACAATATGTGGATTTCACAATCACAAGGTTAACCTATAAATTTTTTTAAAAAAAATGCATTCATAGGTGTTGACTTGAATTTTTTTTTTTTTTTAAATTAGAAAAAAAAAGATTATAAGCCACCGACACATTTTCACAGGTGACATAAGAAAATCTTACCTAGGTTTTTACAGATAATGATTTTGTAAAAGTTATGGCTATTATGATATTTTTCTGATTTTTTGTTATTTTGTAGAAGTTTTTAGAAAAAGAAAAAAGATATGGCTATTATATTTTTTTGTTATTACTTTATTTCTTTTGACCCCAAAATTTGTCTGCCATTCGATAAGGGCCTAGATACGTTGTACACACAAGAAATAGAAATTCACAACCAAATGCGCTTCCGCATCTTCGATAATTTTTTTATTATTTTTATCTCTTCGTTTTCCCCATTTCCTCCCTCTTGTCCTACATCATACCCACTAGGGTTTCAAGAATCCGTCCATCTATGTTACTTTCTTCAAGGATTTTAAAGCTAATTGATACCAGGTAATGGGTTCTACATATATGGCTTCAAGTTCTCGCTAATCGTTATTGTTATTGTATAATTTTATCGATTTTAATTAGCTTTTCTGGTGCGTATAATGAACTCTATTGAATCAATTTGATTCGAAATCCAATTGATTATTATTTGACCGAAGTTGGAGTATTTTCGTGTTAAATTTATCAGAATTTGAATGTATGAGGACATGATTTCGTGCAGAATTACGAGATTGGAGCTTTTGCGATGATTTCATTGGCTTAATCTATTAGGTTAACTGTTCGTTGATTCGATAAAAGCTTCGGATGATTCTGATTCCTTTGGAATTCGTTTGAAAAGTAAAGTGACTCTTCGATGAAATTAAGGGCCGTTTCTATTGGTTTTTAGAATTTACTAGGGTCAATTAGGTCGCAATAGCAATGGACGATCTTATGATTGATACAAACGGATTGGGAGATAATTCAGACATCGAAGGTGATGATATAAGATGTGATAATATAGCAGAAAAAGACGTAAGCGATGAAGAAATCGACGCAGAAGATTTGGAAAGAAGGATGTGGAAAGATAGAATCAAACTCAAAAGAATCAAAGAAAAACAAAAGATTTTAGCACAACAAGCTGCAGAAAAGCAAAAAGCAAAACAAACAAGCGATCAAGCTCGAAGAAAAAAAATGTCAAGAGCTCAAGATGGGATCTTAAAATACATGTTGAAACTCATGGAAGTCTGCAAAGCACGTGGATTTGTTTATGGCATCGTTCCCGAAAAGGGCAAACCTGTAAGTGGTTCATCTGATAATTTACGAGCTTGGTGGAAAGAAAAAGTCAAATTTGACAAAAATGGCCCTGCAGCCATAGCAAAATACGACAATGAATGCATTTCAAAAGGTCAAGGAATTGGGTGTCAAAATGGGAACTCAAATAGCATTCTTCAAGATCTTCAAGATGCTACTTTAGGCTCTCTTTTATCTTCTTTAATGCAACACTGTGATCCACCACAAAGAAAGTTCCCGTTAGAAAAAGGTCTCCCGCCACCATGGTGGCCCACTGGCGGTGAAGAGTGGTGGTCAAGATTAGGTCCAGGGCTTCAGAAAGGTCAACCCCCTCCTTACAAAAAGCCTCACGATTTGAAAAAAATATATAAAGTCGGTGTTCTTACTGCTGTTATAAAACACATGTCTCCAAATATTGCTAAAATTAGAAGATTAGTAAGACAATCAAAGTGTTTACAAGATAAAATGACAGCAAAAGAGAGTTCAATTTGGTTATCAGTTTTGAGCCGTGAAGAAGCTCTGATTTTACAGTCTAGCGGCGATAATGGCGGCTCAGGGATCACCGGAACACCTTCCGGTGGCTGCCGGCCGGAAAAAAACCGCCCGGAAAACAGCTACGATAGTGACTACGATGTTGACGGTGTTGAAAATGGTGGCGGTTCGGTTTCTTCCAAAGATGACAGACGACGTGATACGCCGCCGGAGGCGGCAGTGCCGCTGGCGGCACCACCGCGTAAGAAGAGGAAACGGGAGAAGTCAAAGGTTGACCAAGTGGAACGGGACGGGGTGCCGGATATAAACGAAATGGATGTTTCGTTGATTGAATACCCGGTGTTGCCGGAAAATCATCCGCTAATGGCTGATGCTGTCGCCGGAGTAGAAACTCCGGCGAACATGGTTCTGTATCCACCGCCACCACCGGTGGTGGTTCAAGATTCCGATTATAGACCTCAGAGTTTAGTTGACTACCGCTTGTTTGTTCCGGCGATTGAAGGGCGGAATCCGGTGAACGAGTTCCAGATGAGACCGGAATATTCTTCAGAACCACCGGAAAACGTAAACCCAAATGTAATCCCAGGCGGTGGAAGTGGTGGTGGTGGTGGTGGAGGTGGTGGTCTTGAGATTGTTGAAAAAGAAGGATATAATGAGGGACAAGTAGTGGACAATCAATTTGAATCATCGATTAATAGTTTGTCGTTGGATTATGGTGGATTTAATAGTCCAACTCCATTTAATCTTGGGATTGATGGAACGACGTCGCTTGATACAGATTTTGATTTTCTGCTTGATGATGACCTCATACAGTATTTCGGAGCATAAGTTTTCAAAATTGTAAGTTATAAGTTATATAATATATTATAACAAGGAAGTAATTTTGTTTATATTATATTTTAGTTTTTGTTTGATAACTTATAAGTGGTTGTGGATAATATTAATAGGTATGGTGAATAATGCAAAGATTACAAGCATGGCGTTATTTGGCTGATGTTTCTGATACTTTATCAAGAATGTAAGGTTATAGTTTTTTGTTTTTTTTGTTGCCAATTTTGGTGGTAGAATAATGAATGAATGAATGAATGATCTTTAACAGTTGCATGTAAAATGGATCTCTTTTTTCAGTTTTTGTGATTATTAACTTTTTTTTTTTGGTTAAAGAAATCCGTTAGAATATGGTGGTGTTAACAAATGTATAGCTTGTTTTGACGTTTTTAAATATTAAATTATCGTATTTTATATTGATATAATTTGTTTGAAAGTTAAAGCTCGAGTTGTACTTGTAGATGCTTTTGTCCTGGATAATGCCATTGACACTTTCGAGCTTTGCTTGATTTGGTTCAAATAGTTTTTATAAAAAGAGTAAACTACAAATTTGGTAATTGTGGTTTGTAATTTTCTTTTGATTCGGTCTAAAAGTTTTTCAACTTATAGCGTATGTACAAAATGAAATATTTTTTATGGATTTGGTCCATCTCCAACTAGAAATGATTATTGTACTTTTTTTTTTCATGTCAGATTCTTTATATGTGATTGCATTCCTTGCTATATGAACATTGAACATGTGTTTGTCAACTTTTTCTTTGGCTATAACAACCTTTAGTTCATGAGGTATCATATAGGCTTTTTAAGTTTGTCATTAGAGGTAGAAGAGTGGTAGAATATGTGGACAATTTTTGAATTTCAATCGGTCAGTTGGTGAAGAAAAAGAAGGAAGACATTTTTGCGAAGAAATAGAATTTTATGTTTTCAAAAGAGTTAATTGGTTTCGTATGATCCAAAGAATGGTGAGCAATTTTCAACGAGGAGATATATGCAAAAGTGACATTCATAAATTTAACAATTACATGTAACGGAAATTTATAAAGAATAACCCCTAAAATGAACTTCTATTACCTTAAAATGCGATATTTGAAACGAGATCGATAGGTAGGAGTAACATTGAGACTTATGTGTTTAGGAGTGTTCTTGAGGAAAATTTTATTTTCCTGTAAAATAAAGGAAAAAGACAAAATAAGATTTTTATCGAGTTTATAAATAACGTGAGACGTGGCGTGACGCCAATGTCAAGTCTCAAGATATTACAAGTCATGCCGTTTTTCAAGGTATGAATTAAGATGATATGTTTGTATGCATAAAAAAAAATCACATAATTATAGATTTATATAAAATATATCATGTTTTTAGAAGAGTTATATCTGCATTTAACAATAAAAAGTTAACAAATACCCCCAACTCTTTCATTCTGGATCTGAAAAAAAGTCAAAGAAAAAGAAAAAAATGTGTCTTGCAAAAAACTTGCGCCATAACGCGCCTTGGCACATGACACGTCTCATTCTATGGCACGCTTTGACCTGCATCATGTCATACTTTTAGAACTATGGTTTTTATACATCTAATTAGTGGGATCTGTCCTTTTCACATATAACATCTACATGAATCACCAAAATGACATGGTATCACCATTTCTCACACCCCATCTGCAAAATACATAACTATTTTGGTAATCCTTCTAACTTTGTATTAAATCTTGAAAAAAGATAAATAAGGTTATACATTTTGTCTTTTTTCAAAAATTGATAAAAAAAGAAAAAATAAGCTAAATTTTTTTTTTTCAAAATTTAAGCAAAAATTATCTATTCGACCCATATAGTCATGATTTTCACAAATGACTATCTACGACTACGACAATCTATGAAATAACACCATTTTGAGGATTTTCACAATGGACATCTGTGAAAATCTCAACTGTCTACGATAAAACTGTTTCTCAAAACTAAATTTTGAAAAAAAAAATCAATTTTTTTTCTCATGTGCCCATATGCGAAAATCCAGATTTTATGTGCGAAAATCAAAATTTACCCGAGATTTTTTTAGGAAATCATATTTTTGAATTTTTTTGTGTTAGAAATCTTCAAAAACCATTTGCACGCTGGAATAAAATTTAATATTATATTTTTACCTAATAAAATAACAAAATGAAAAATTATTTTTCATCTAAAATGTTTAGATGCATCTAAGAAATCCTTTAAAAATGGTAAGATTTTTTTTCTTTTTATAAGTGAAAACTACAATATATAATCCTTTATTCTGGAAAGTTTTTGAACGATTCTAACACACAAAAATTCAAAAGATGTTTTTATTTTTATTTTATTTTATTTTTAAATCACAGATAAACTTTGATTTTTATAGATAGGCATTTATGTTTTTAATTTTTTTTTCCAGATATAGTTTTGGGACCCATTTTTTTCGCAGATGTCCATCTGCAAAAATCCTCAAAATAGTATTGTTTTAAAGATTTTCGTTGATATTATCGTAGACGGACGTCTACGAAATTTGGATATAGTAACTAATTTTTTGCATAAATCTTAAAAAAAGGATAATAAGATTTTTGTAATTTGTTTTTTTTTTCTCTAAAAATAACATAACTATATCATTTAATATTGAAAAAAATTGAAAATAAAGTACAACTTTAACTTGAAAGAAATCAACTTTCATAAAATATGAATTTCCAAAAAAAAAAAAAAAAAAAACTAAAGTTTTATAAAACACAACCACTTCCTCGTTTGCAATTTATTTAGAAGAGATTAAGATATATTTGGAAAACTTATAAAAAAGCCTCATAAATTAATCAATAAATGATCTCAAATAGTATTTTAAAAATAGAGTTTATAAGCTATTTTAGTGGTATCAAGTGATACTACGTTGCAATAAACTTAACAAACAAAATAGTTTATAAGATTTGCTTATCTGCACCAAACACATTCAAAACACCACGTACATAATCACCATCTAAATCTTGATTTATGCATAAAAGCAACCGAATTGAATTAACTATTTGAATTTTTGGAAAACATTATTTGGTTTATGTAGCATCTTTAACTTCCTTTGGAAAACATATCTTTAATGTGACATAACACAATTATCCTTCCAAAAGCATCTTAGAATATATAAATTTCGGTCTTGATGAATTTTACAAAATCAAATTTGAACATAAACCTTATTTTTCAAAAACTACTTATTAAATTTTCAATTTGCCTAATTTATGTAAACTTGAATCTTGGGAGAACATCCCTCCCAACCCTTGATACCACATTAGCTTCTTCTCTCTTCTCTTACTTTATCCCTTGCAAGTTGCAACCTAAACACAAGAAACATAATCTTCCATTCCACACAATTTGGTACAAATATACAAGCACAAGGTACAAATAGGCAATGTAGTGAAGCTTCGAGGGACATTCAGATAACATAAGCAATATCGGGTTCAAAATATTCGACACCGAACACAACAAACCTGTGGGGCCACCAATACTGAGCCCATCCCGGACTCCACCTCAAGCCATTATCTCCATTCTAAGCTTTAAAACATGTCTACATATTTGTTTTCACTCCAAATGATATTCAATATTTAGAAGCTAATATTATGATTCAAAACTTGAAATAAACGTTTCAAAAGTCCAGTAAACATATACAAACTATTGGTTTATCATTATAAAAAAAATTTATATGCATGTTACTTTTAATAAAAAACTTAATTTGAGTTAAACAAAACAATTTGAATTTTATAAAAAAAATTCTACTACTTATTAGTTGTTAGAACACTTCTAGCCTTTTTAGGGCCTAAGTATGGCGGGCCCTTTTAGTTTACCCAATCTCAATTATTAGTCCAATAGGAAGGACCCATCACCCACGGGATATTTTTGTACTTTACAAATTTTACATTGTGTAAATGCCACGTAAGCAAAAAGCGAAAAATATCTCCGATAATATCTGGGGAAGAAAGGAAAAACAAAAATCTAAAGAGGACACGTCACCCCTCTCTCTTCAGACTTCACTAGTGGAGAATTATAAAGTCGGTGAAACGAAACTTCTCTTTCTCGCCGTCCTTTTCTAAAACCGAAGCTTCTCCACCAATCACCGCCAATGGCCGGCCACAACACTGCCGTCAACTCCAACGATGTTTTGGAAACACCGGTGTTAGACGTCGAGGCACACAGTCTCCTCCAAAGCATATCTGAAGAAGGTGGTTATGCGTATGTGAGTATGTCAGCACGCGCCGCTGATGGAGACATTCGAGCTGCAGAGGCGGCGCGTGAGGTGGCGTGGGAACAACTTCACTCCGGGCCATGGCACTCTGTGTTGCCTGTGTGGAGAGACGCGTACTCGATGGCGTGTTTGCACGTCGCCAAATTTCATTATGCTAATGGCGAGTTCAAAGAGGCACTTAGGGTTTTAGACATGGGATTGATAATGGGAGGGATGGTTTTGCGTAAGGATTTGGAGTCGGCTGTGGGGAAAGCTACGGAGAGAGCGAATGCTATTCTTAGGGTTTCGGAAGAATCTGTTAATGGATCTGCTAATGCTAAATTAGTAACAACTCAAAATGCAATTAACTTGATCGAGGTGAGTTTTGCTCAACTCTGTTCTGTGTAATTACTGCGAGCAGATTTATTCTATAACTTGCGTTTGTGACTGTAAATGGAAAATTGAAATCCTGCTTAAAATGATCATAAATTCATGATCATAACTATTCCCCTGTTAAGTGATATTTTTGCTGTAAATGTCCACTTTTGTCTCTAATTCCTGTAAATTACATGTTACAACCTTCCCTGAATAAAGTTTTTTGGATTGGGATTGGGATTGTTTCTGTTGCTGTAAATCTGTAATAATGCCTGATTTGGGTACCCTACATGTTACTAGCTAGAAGGATCACCATCTGAGATCCCTATTTCTGGTTATGATTGCATTCACCTAAGAAAAAGAAAATGGACATATTCATACCTAAAGTGCTGAATAATGTTTTACCTGTCTGGATCATATCTTTATCAGCAAAACAGTGAAGAATGCAAGAATGTTCCCCTTCTGATTGGACATCATGCTCAAATAGGACAAAGGTTACTTTAGATGATATGCATGAATGTAGGCAAAGATAAAAACATTAATCTTACACTAACTTGTTTGATTGAACATGCAGACTCTTCAAATCTTACCCAAGAACTCATTATCTTGTAAACATATTGGAAAGAGATCTTCCCTTTCATTGGAGGGTTTCATGCGTGACTATTTTCTCCCTGGTTCACCAGTTTTATTAACTGACAGTATG